AATTTCATTTAGATTCTTTTTCAATGGCAAAACAAAAATATTAGACAAATGTTTGTAGCTCAAAACGAAGACTTCAATATACGATAGCCAATTAAGAGATGCTATTAATGCTGTTAAAAAAGGTATGGTTGTGTACAAAGCAAGCAAGACGTTTGGAATTCTTTATCAGACGCTTCGTGAAGATACAACACTGCGGTTATGAATCGGTACTAGGTGAACACATTGAAAATAAATTAGTCGAGTGGTTACTAACATGTACCAGAATGGGATTTGCCATGTCTGTAGTACAGCTATTAGATACTGTGCAAAAATACTTGAATTCCAACAATATAAAAACACAATTTACTAACAACCGTCCTGCAAAAGGTTGGTTTTATGCATTTCTTCGCCGTCATGAACAGTTATCTCAAAAACGAGGTGAATACTTAAACCGAGCTAGAGGAGGAGTAACTGAAAAAGCCATAAGAGATTGGTTTACTGAAATTCCAAAGCTTTTAGGAGAAAACGCTCAATATTTAAATGATTCGATGCGCGTTTTCAATATGGATGAGAGTGGTTTTTAGTTGTCACTAAAAACTAATTTATTAATTGGTGAACGAGGAAAAAATACTTATGAAGAAAGTGCTCGAAGTAATAAAAAAAGCATCACCACTTTATTTGCAGTAAATACCAGCGGAACTTTTGCTCCACCATTAACAATTTTTAAATATGTTCGTCTTCCAAATAGAATTATAAATACTGTTCCATCAGGATGGGGTATTGGAAAACGTGAAAATGGTTGGATGACCGCAGAATGTTTTTTTGAGTATACTACAAACATTTTTCATCCATTTTTGATAGAAGAAGAAATTCCTTTACCAGTTATTATTATTTTTGATGGTCATGCGTCACCTTTTTTTTATCAAACTTAGTGAGTTTTGCTCTAAAAATGGAATAATTCTCGTTGCTTTGTTCCCAAATGCAACACATATTTTGCAGCCACTCGATGTGGCAGTTTTTTGGGCCAATGAAAGCAAAGTGGAAATCTTTATGCCGACAATGGCGCATTGACCATGAAGGACAAGAAATAAACAATGAAAATGTATCAGAAGCATTAAGTTCATTTATAATTGATCCTTCTATGGCAAATAATGTTAAATGTGGTTTTAAAAATACCTGAATATTTCCATTTGATGCTAATAGTGTGGACTACACAAAAATTGTTCAAAGACTATCTGAGTCAACTGTGGCTCCGACTCCTTATTTAGAAGAGAATCAATCAAGTGTGACTTTATCAGCTTCCTCTCCCATAAACTTTATTGAAAACTTCATTGATCCAAGTATTTTAGAGCAGTTTTAAATAGCTGACTAACATTTAGGTTGCAAAGGTGATCTTGAATATCTCCAGCTGTATCTTTTTTGGAAAAGAGCCTCATCTGAAACATATAAGACCTCAATTTTACCTGATGAAATACAACAGGGTAATAAAAATCTATCAACAACTTGTAATTTAGAAAATGTGCAAATTATAACCGGTATGGAAATACCTGATTTCAATATTGCAGCAGATATAGAACCAAAACCAGCTTGTTCTAGTTTGAAAATAGCAGCAGAAATCATAAGTCAATTTCCGCAATAGATAACATCTTGACAAATGCATTTCAAGATTCCTCTTTAAAAACAGGTATAGTTAAAACCGATATTTCGGATCACTTCCCAATTTACTTTTCTATAAATCAAGATACAAGAATAAACAACAATTCTAAAACCAAAATTTATATAAGAAAAACTAATAAAATTTCTATTCAAAAATTTAAAGACACACTATCAATAGTGAATTGGGATGAAGTATATAAAATATGCAACCTTGAGGACACAAACTCCGCATATAATACATTTATCGATATTTTTTTTAATCATTATAATAGTTATTTCCCGATCGAAGAAAAAATAGTTAAAGAAAAATATTTGAACTGTCCATGGATTACTAGTGGAATTAAAAAATCCTCTAAAACAAAACAAAAACTCTACATAAAATATTTAAAAAACAGAAATGAAGTCAACTTATCTATCTACAAGCAATATCTTTGAAAAAATCTCTTTGAAAAAATCTCTTTGAAAAAATAAGGAAAAACTCTAAAAAAATATACTACTCAAAACTACTTCAAAATACCAATGGCGATATTAAAAAATCATGGAACATCATGAAAGAAATAATCGGGAAAAAAAATACCAAAACAAATACCTTACCTGATAGAATTGTTGTGGATGAAAAAGAATACAACGATAAAAGTTCTATAGCCGAACATTTCAACAGTTTCTTTGCAAACATCGGCCCTAACATGGCGTCCAAAATTCAATGCCCAAATACCTATTTTGAAACCTATCTTACAAATCAACAAAGCGAACTAAAATACAATGGACTAGACTATGATGAACTCGAAGCTGCAAAAAATTCTCTAAAAATTAACAAAGCACCAGGGATTGATGAGATTTCTAGCAACGTAGTAATAAGTGTCTT